AGTGCATACCAATGTTCGATACAATAAGGTACGTAGAGAATTAGGAAGAAAACACTGATGACAATGATTGTGTGATGATGCTGAGTGACAGCAATGGCAAAGACAACCAAGTTGTCAGTCATGACCAACTGAGAATAACATGTACCTCTCCCAATAGGTATATGATCATCAGATCAGGATGCAGTTATCAAACTTATACAATGTTATAGTTTAAATCAATGGTAGAATTTGCTGTTCCCTAGAGGTGACAGGAGAAGTGGCAAGAAGGGGAAATAGGCAAGTTTGCCCTGGAAAGTGACTCAGTCCCTTCCTACCACCTCATTAATAAACTGGGGCATGGACGTCTAATGGGGACCTTCTCATACTGCCTTCAATTAAAATGCTTAAGATCTATTAAGGAATCACTTAAGGGCCTCAACTCTCCACGTCCCAGATTACTTGCCCTCCTGGTGGGTGAGATAAGCGGCTGATTCCCCAACTGGGTAACCAGTGGCTGTTTGCCAAGTTTGCTGAGCTCTGATAGCTCAAATTTAAAATTGCTTCCAACTGCCATTCAACTGGAGGCATGGATGGTGCTCAAGGGCGTGGCCTTTGATAGTCAATTCCCTGCTTTTGCATCCAACTCCTCCCAATCCCCTCTGCCTGTCACTCCAATATGGAACAAACAAATAGACAGGAACTGAATAGGTACTTTGCATTAGTTTTCACAGTGGAAGATACACCTGCATCAACAGCACCTTCCGGTTGCTAACCATTTTAACTCCCCCTCCCACTCCCTAGGTGACATGTCCATCCTGGGCCTCCTCCAGTGACACAATAATACCACCCACAAACTGGAGGAACAACACCTCACATTCTGCTTCGGGAGCCTACAGCCCAATTGGCCTGAATGTAGAATTCACCCGTTTTAAAATCTCGCCACCCCGGCTTATCCAACCCACCCTCTCATCTCCGCCTCCTTGACCTGACACTACCTGTCCATCTTCACCTATCCACGCCACCTTTCCACTGACCAATCCCCACTACACTACTTGCATCCACCTATCACCAGCCCACCTACCTTCCTCCAGCCCCACCCCCTTCCCTCTATTTATTTCCCAGCTCCCTTCCCCCTCCCCAGTTTTAATGAAGGGTTTAGGCCCAAAGCATCAACTCTCCTGCTGCGTTCCTCGAGCTCTACACTATATTGACTGAGTCCAGCATCTGCAGTTCTTGCTATCTCCTCACTACACTCATCTCCGATCCCTGACTCTCTGGTATGCTGCTGGTGTATCTTCCACTATGAAAACAAATGCAAAGTACCTATTCAGTCCCTGTTATGAACGGAGGGAGACAAAAAACATGAAACTACAGGCCAGTTAACTGGTAAGATTCTAGAGTCCATTATTAAGGATGAGATTGCAGAGTTCTTGGAAGTGCATGGTATAATAGGGTTGAGTCAGCACTGCTTTGTCAAGGGGAGATAATGTCTGACAGAATTCTTTGAGGTGATAAGGAGCAAGTTAGACAACGGAGAGCTAACGGAAGTGATCTAAAGGATGGCAACTGGTGAATAGTGGAGTTCGCAGAAGATTGTGTTAGGTGAACTATTCACATTATACGTTAACAATCTTGACGAAGGAACTGAGGGTGTCGTTGCTAAGTTTGCGGATGATACAAATATATTTGCACAGGCAGGTAGTGTTGAGAAAGCAGGGAGGCTGCAGAAGGATTTGGACAGGGTACAAGTGACAGATAGAATACAATGTGGGAAAGTGAGAGATTGTGCACTTTGGTAGGAAGAATAGAGTTGTAGGCTATTTCCTAAACAGGGAAAAGCTTTGGAAATCTGAAGCACAAAAGGGACATGGGAGTCCTGGTTCAGGATTCTCTTACAGTTAACATACAGGTTCAGTTGGCAGTTGGGAAGGCAAATGCAATCTTACCATTCAGTTCAAGAGGCTAGAATACAAGAGCAGAGATGTACTGCTGAGGCTGTATAAGGCCCTGGTCAGACCACATTTGTGAGCAGTTTTGCTGGCATTGTGGGGGCCCAGAGGAGATTTACAAGAATGATCCCGGGGATGAAGGGCTTGTCATATGAAGAGCATTTGAAGACTCTGGGCCTGTACTAGGAGTTTCAAAGGATGAGGGGTATCTGCTTGAAACTTGGAGAATACTAAGAGGCCTGGATAGAGTGGCCATAGAGAAGATGTTTCCATTAGTAGGAGGGATTAGAACTCACTCGCCTCAGAATGAAGGGAAGATATTTTCTAAATGAGGGGAGGAATTTCTTCAGCCAGAAGGTGGTTAATCTGTGGGATGCATTGCCAAAGAGAGCTGTGGAGACCAAGTTAGAGATAGATCGGTTCTTGATAAGTAAAGGGAGAAGGCTGCAGAAGAATGGGGTTGAGAAAGATATCAGCCATGATCAAATGGAGGAGTAGACTCAATGGGCTGAATAGCCTAATTCTGCTTCCATGTCTTAAGGTCTAATAATGAGGCCTGTGATATCCTAATGCTGAAACTTACCAGCCAGCTCTTACGTTTCTGGGCATCGGATTGGTTGAGTTTTCTTGAGTGAGTTGGCCAAGACCCAACATGCATTTTCCCATCATTTATTCTCTAAAAAGGGAAAATCATGGCCAACATTTAAACAAATAGGTCTACGTAATGGTTTTTGATTAACCAGTTTCAAAGTTAAATAATGCTAACTAGGATGATTGAAAGTAATGACACTAGAAATGGGATTTAGGGCAGGAAGTGTACAACAAATGCACAATTTTATAAACACAACTTTATATATGAACAATAGTAAAAGATTTATACTAAATATGTTAGTTGATTTCTTGTGGTCTTGTACACAGGCAGTGAAGCTCAATATGAAGCATGAGTGTTGAGGATAAGTGGGTCAGCTGTGCAAATGTTATTTAGTCCCCATTCTGAAACAATACATTCTGTCCATGGTATAATAAAAACAAATACAAAAAAGTAAAATTCAAGCCACACAAGGGCCAGGCATTTATCATAGTCAACAAAACAGAATCTAATCATTCCTTCTCCACATTCAATGACATTACCCACTATCAATATTCTGAAGGCTTACCATAGACCAGAAACTGGATTATTGCATAAATACTGTGGCTACAAGAGCAGGTCAGAGGCTAGGAATACTGCAGTGAGCAGTTTGCCTCCTGGCTCTCTACTGCCCATGCATCATCTACAAAGTGCAGGTCAGGAGTGTGGTAAAATACTCTTCTTGCCTGGATGGGTGCAGCTTCAACAATACTGAAAAAGCTGAACACCAGTCCAGACAAAGTAGCCCATTTAATTCACATTCACAAGCACCCACTCCCTCTACCATCTTTGCTCAACTGCAGTAATGTAAACCATTTACAAGGTGCACTGCAGAAATGTACCAAGGCTTCTTAGGGAATCATTCCAAAATTAGTATCACTTCCAAATGGAACGTCAAGGGCAGCAACATTTGCAAGTTTTTCTCCAAGCCACTCAGCATCCTGACTCAGAAATACATAACTGTTCCTTCGCTGTTTCTGGGTCCACATCTTGTAACTCCATCCCTGGGTGTACCCAGATCAGCCAGGCTGCAGCAGTTCACCATCATCTTTGCAACAGCAACCAGGAATGGATAATAAATGTTGGCCCACACTGAAGACGTCATACTGGATTTGAAATACTAACCAGTTTCCCTCTCTCTCCATCAATGCTTCCAGACCTGAGTTTCCTCAGGTATTCGCTGCACTTTTTCAGATTTCCAGCATTTTGAGTATTGATTTCATTCCTACATTGTGAAATTGCTTCTGTATAAATGCTCCTTTTATCCTGCTCCCTACTTTTATCCAGTTCTCTCTATCTAACCAATCACTGAACACAGTTAATCTCGTCCACTTGTGTAATGAAGATTTACACAGGCACAGAAAGAGGAGTAGGGTATTCAACCATCAAGCCTGCTCTACCAATCAAAATCATGGCTGATTTGACTGTGGTCTTAACTCCACTTACCAGTCTGCCCCTTCCGCATAACCCTACACTTCCTGTCAATCAAAATCTAACTTGGTCTTGTAAATATTTAGTTATCTAGTCTTCACTGTTCTCTGGGAAAGAGAATTCCACAGATTAACCAAATCCTTAGAAAAACGATTTCTCATCTCAGCTTCAATTGTGAGACCTCTAAATTTTAAATCTGCGTACCCTAATTCTGAACTCCCCCGTCATGGATATACCCTCTCAGAATCCATCTGGTCATGCTCCTTTGTATTTTATACAAGGTAATCTCTCATTTTTCTAAACTCCAATGGGTACAGGCCCAAACTGCTCATCCTTTATTTCAGAAGCTAACCCTTTCGTCCCTGGCATCAGTTGGCTTTACCTTGGGTGAACTGCTTCTAAAGAAATTATGTCCTTTAAGTAGGGGAACCAAAACAGTACACATTATTCCAGAAGTGGCCTCACCAAGGCCTTTGATCCAAGGACTTTCCACTGGGCTTTAGAGATAGTAATGCTGCCCCTTCAGGTTGGAGCTAGCAACTTCTGTCAGATTAGTGACAGGGCTGCACTGGGGAAGGCAGACAGATGCAAGAGGGCAGCATTACTGGGAGGAAAGACCAGTTTTGACAACAGCCAGCATGTTTATAAAAAAAAAAAATACACTTTGTCCATGCTATACACTTTAAGGCCCATAGCAGTACACAACCACCCTCCAAATATTCAACATCTGTCAACTCCCAGATGACTTAGAAGTTGAAGTGAGAATTTAAGCCTGGTTCAGCCAAAGTCATCAGGTAATAATGGAAAGCACACAGGCTGGGCAAAGCTATAACAGAAATAAAATCTGACGTCAAATTATTTGGTGAAGACAAGTGCAGTACTCAAAAACTCCATCTCTGATAATGATGCAGATCTGTTGGACTTGACATACATTATAACCAGATATAAAAATTAAAAACATGCCAAGTTTTTGAAACTAAAACCAACAACTACAGACAAAGACACTGCAGGAGTTAGATTATGGTATTTTTATTGGTTGAAGGACAAACAGTTTTAAACGTGTGACTTCAATGTTGAGCTTTAGTTGGCAAAGTTTGCATTAGAAAAACAAATTTGGAAATCCAGGAGACGGCCTGATTTAAAAGTGACTTATCAATTTCACCTGCAAACTGGATGCAAGTAGCTAGGCAATACCATCAAGAACCTTAACCATCCATTCATTTTGAAGAAGTTCAATCTCAATATACACTTTAGCAGATATTTGCATTACATATATAACCACTTTTGGTTGAAATGTACAGTTTCAAGTTGAATTCTATTAGTTACAATAGCACTTGCTCTGCATAATTTATCAGTATTGGGTACACTATTGATATTAACGTTTTTAATTCTGAATGTTTAAAAGACAGTGGGGTTTAATTAAATACTCATACATCTTGTTAAATTTAGTTTACTCTCTTCCATATTTAATTGTAGAATAGCACATTATTCATCAAGACACATCAAGGTTACAAATGCAGCAAATAACTATATTAACACAAACTTTAAGATTTGCAGAGATGATTCACAGGTGGTTAACTAGCCTCAACGTGAAAATTATCAAACTGAGCCAGTTCAAAGGAATGTGTTCCAATAGCTGCCCAACCATTCTGCGGTTGAAGTACATGAACATTCTTCCATAGTGGATAGCCATTCAACAGTCCGAATGTTAAATTGTCCTAAGAGAAAATGAAATTAAAAGGTAAATTCTGCCTTAAGAGTTTTCCTCAAAGTAACCTGTGTTATTTAAATAAATATTACAGATATAAAATTGTAATAATTATTTTAAAATGCAAGTCCAGAATTTCTCATATATTGAAATTTAGAAACAGGATAATAAATTTATTTCTGGCAGAACAATTCAAGATTTCTCAATGTTTGTATCCCATTTTCACTGGGATATTACGGCAGCATCTTCAAAACTGCTCAGCAACAGAAAATACTGAATAGCTCTAGAATAAAAGGTTTAAAACTTTGCTCAACCTTTTTGGCTAGTAAAGGAACAATAGGGAAAGACTTTTTCAAATAGTTTACTGTTAAGTTGGAATCAACAATTACTTAATCCTGAAGAAATGTTTCAGGGATGTACTAATAGGAGAAAATGAAGTCATATTTAAAAAAACACTTTTGACCTTCTCTCCCCTTCTGGATGAGTATATGAATAAAAAGGGTTTAGAGAGCAATGATCCAAATAGGACTAGATTAATTTAGGATATCTGGTTGGCATGGACAAGTTAGAGCGAAGTGTCTGCTTCTGTGATCTACATCTCTCTGACTCTATGCAATTTATGAATCGCATAACATTGTATACAAGGTTCAATAACCTAAAAGAATCTTATCGATGATAGCAATGGAACACAAAATTTGCAATGTCAAGCAATTTTCTTAATGAGTATTAAAGTGCCTGCTTAGGAACGTTCAGGCTTTAATGCTCTTCATTTCAAATATAACTTCTAGTACTAAATTCTATTGCTTTTGTTTATAGGCAGAGGAGCAATGAGAATGGCTTCAAGAAGAGTGAAAAATCTAGGATTTAATGTTGCTGAGCAATGATAAATTGTTGGAATGCTAAACATCTGGGGCTGCAAGTACTTTAAGAACTGGAAAAGTAAAAATGTATTCAGTATTTAGCTCATCAACCGAAACTCCGAAGTTTAATTTTCATTTGAAAGACAATTAAAATACAGAATTCTACATCATGTGTCAAAGTTCAGGAAACAGCAAAACAATTTTTTAAAAACTATATTGTACTGACCTGAATGATAAGAGTGAGGGTATGCCATTTTCCTGCACGTGTACCTGACTGGCCCGAAGCTAACACAGTTTTACCAGCTTCAAAATAAAAGAAAAAGTTTGTTAACAGCAGCACAAATGTAGCAATAGCTCAATACCAGCACCAAATCCATTTCCAAATGTTCTAAAACACAAATTTAAAAAAATGTTTCTTAAGATCTCACTTAAGTAATGCTTACAAAGGTTTCTCAGATTGGGATGCAGGTCATTTGAATAAAATAGAGAGAATGCCATTTTCTCTTCATTCAAGGTCAATAATATAAAGCATGCTTTAGATTAGTCAGCAATACTTAAAATAATAGTGACAAAGTTTATCAATAAATTAGAAATACTGTTTCAACACTCCACAAGACAAAATTTATAAGAAACATGAACAGGAGTAGACCATAGGATCATGGCTGATCCGACATTCCTCACGTCCACTTTCCTGTTCTTTCCCCATAACCCTTGATTCCTCTACTGATCAAGAATCTATCTCAGCCTTAAATTTATCTCAAAACTTAAAATTTCAAGTAAGAGAGCTCCTCCAAGAAAGATGAATAACCCCTTACTTTTAAACAGTGATCTCTAATTCTAAATTCTCCCATCCTTACGATATCTTGCCTGCCAATACTGCTGGGGATGTTTCAATCAAGTCAGCTTTTACTCTTCTAAACTCCAGAAAATACAAACTAGCCTGTCCAACCTTTCCTCTTAAGACTAAACTCTCCAAGGTTTTAGTCTAGTAAACCTTCTCTGAACTGCTTCTTATTCATTTATAGCCTTCCTTAAGTAAGGTGGCCAATAAGGTGTGCACAGTACTCCAGGTGTAGTTTCACCAGTGCCCTGTACAAGTGAAGCATAATGACCCTATTCTTATATTTAATTACGCTCGTAACACATCATTCTATTAGCTTTCCTAATTACTTGCTGTACTTGCATAGTAACATTCATGCATGAGGATATGCAGATCTCTCTGCATCTCAGAGTTTTGTGATTTCTCACCATTTAGACAACATTCTTTATTTATTTGCTCATGCCAAAGTGGACAATTTGACATTCTCCCACATTTTAGTTAATTTAACACATTTTTTCTTAACTTTTATTAACGTGTCTTTTTGTAGCCTTGTTATTTGCTCTTCAGAACTATCCTTCCTTTCGTCAGGTTGTCAGCAAATTTGGCAACCATACCTTCTGTCCCAACATTGAAGTAATTTATATAAATTTTAAACAGTTGGTTCCCAGCAATGTGGCACATCACTTGTTGCCATTCTGAAAACAAAAAAAGCACTATTCATTCCTAGCTTCTGTTCCCTGTTAGTTAGCCCACCTTCTATCCAAGCACATGTGCTATTGCCTACACGAACTTTTATTTTTCTCAATAATCTTCCAAGTGGCACTGTATCAAATGCATTCTAGAAATTCAAGTACAATACATCCACTGGTTCTCCTTTACCTGCAGAATGTGTTATCTCTTCATACAGTTCCAAGAAATTGGCTAATCTTCGTGTCCATTTTACAAAACCATGTTGACTTTGCCCAATTACCCTGAACTTATCCAAGTGCTCTGTTTGTAACTTCTTAAATGATAGCTTCTTATATTTTCCCTATGATAGATGTTAACTGCTTCTACTGCTTTCTATCTCCCTCCCTTTTTGAAGAGTTACATTCCTCATCTTCCAATCAAATGGGACCATCCCTGAATCAAGGGAGTTTTGGAAAATTAATTCGTTCCATCAATTATCTCACATAGCCACACCTTTTAAAATCCTGGGATGAAGTTTATCAGGACCCAGGCATTTATCAGCTCATGGATCCAACAGGGCCACTTCTCTGGGGATAGTGATTTTTTTGATACACGAGTCAAAAGTAACTCCCTCCCTAACAGCATTGTTAAAAGTGGAAGCCCACCATTGCCTTCTGAAGGGCAAAAAGGGATGGGAAATAGATGCTGGCCCAGTCAGCAATGCCCACATCGCAGGAATTAAGAAAACAAAACAGCTTCTTCTAGAATGATACCGTAACCTTAAAATTGAAGATCGATTCAGAAGTATTTGTTCAGTTCAACTGCCATTTCCTGGTTTCAATTAATTCTCCAGTCACTCTTTCCACAGGACAAACACTCACATTGTTAACTCTTCTCTTTATATACTTATAGGAAATCTTATCACCTGTTTTATATTTTTGGCTTGCTCTCTCATACTCTAATTTTTCCCTTTATTAAAAATTTTTGGTCATTCTTTGCTTTTCCTTCACACTTCATTCAATCTTTGGAATTGTCACCTCTCTTACTTAGCATAATTACACGATTCTTCCTTTAGTTTGATACTAATTTTAACTTTTCTAGTTAACCATGGATGATGGATCCATACCTTGGACCTTTTCTTACTTATTTATATGTTTTTTGTTCTCAACTATCCCCTAATTATCTAACACTACATTTCTAATGACCTATCCTTTAATCTGTCTTGCCAATTCACTTTAGCAGACTTCCCTTATTTTAAAAAAATATATACTCTTGGACCCACACCTCCCTCCTTCAAACTGAATGTAAAATTCAACCGTAATGTGATGACTGTTACCTAGGGATGCCTTCACCATGAGATATCAATTAATCTTATTTCATTGAACAGTAGAAGGTCTAGCATAACCCGCTCTCTTGCCAACTCAATAACATGCTGCTCTGACAAACTATACTGAAAATAAACTTCTCATCTCGGCTACATTTCCACATTTGACCTTTCCAGTTTACACAAATTAAAATCGCTGACGATTATCACCACGCCTTTCTGACCAGCTCTCATTATTAAATAAAAACCGAAAGAACTGCGGATGCTGTAAATCAGGAACAAAAACAAAGTTGCTGGAAAAACTCAGCAGGTCTGGCAGCATCTGTGAAGGAAAAAACAGAGTTAATGTTTCGGGTCCGGTGACCCTTCCTCAGAAGCTCTCATTATTTCTTCCTATCATATGGCTAGTGTCAGGGGCATGTACACCACTCCAACAAGTGACTTTTTGCTTTTATTATTTATCATTTCTACTCAATCCAAAAATCACAGTCAATTAGAATTGCAGGAATTATTTTTCTCCCTGGACCAAGCAATATGCCTCAATGCCTTGCCATCTGCATTGACTGATAACAGCTATAAAAATATTTAGGAGAGAGTTTACATTGCTGAAGTTTAGTACAATTCATAAAGACAGTAGTGATGAATAATGAACAGTTTCCCCTGGTAACCATGAAATCCTGCAAATTGATCCAAGTTTATTGCTCCTTTATAAATGTTCTTAGACATAATGATCCTTTATCTGTATTTTTGAGAGCCTGTTGTTTTGAGTGACCTGTTTTCACACTAACAGGAAACTTGTGCATTAGTTGAGATGCTATTAGAAAAAGAACTAACTCAATATCTTGTTATATTTTATTGCTCAAATGTTTGATCGTGTACTTAAGATTGCAATTATGATCAGATAATGTCAATAATATAGAAAATGATTTAATTATTGTGGTAGAGTTCATTTCCTGTTCCACACACAATTCTCATTATAATGCAAATCATTTTAAAGTTGATTTTATAAAGGAACTGGATACAAATGTCATTGGTTCATGCAGGAATGAATAATACCATTTCTTCTATCAGGATCTCTTGCCAGCAGTTCCAGTATTCACAATAATCCCTGGAACAGGCATGTTGAGAGATAAATTCAGTTCTGTTGATGAATGTAATCGAGCAGAATTAGCTGCCTTGAATTTAGTAGCTACTATTAAGTAACAGTAAAATGACCGTACACTTTAGATAAAGACACCTTCAAAGCATGAGGGAATTAAAATAAAACAAAAAATAAGCCAGGAAACAACAGTAACCATTGTCTCAAAATATAAAAGGATTAAAAGTAAACAGAAGTGAACTATGCAAACATTAAATTACTGAAAAACTAATCAACATTCACAACATCAACAAACTGTCTGCTTCAGATATGCTGCTGGGTCTGCTTTGCATAGTTAGTATTTTCCAAGTTGTACTTTTGAATTTTTTGGTAGACTGCAACTGGTCTTGAGAGAAAACGTCAGCCAAGATGGCCATGAATAAGTGTTCTGAAATGCAATAGCAAACTAAGTTTTCAAAATATTACATCCTTTCCCTGCTGCTGCAGCCATCTTCTTTTAAAAAAATTCAGAGTACAGCATTCTCATCCTTATGGATTATAGCGATTCAAAAATTGAGGCTGTTGACTGGCTTGCCGAGCTGGCTTGTTTTTGTTTGGATGTTTCATCACCATGCAAGGCGACATCATCAGTGGAGCCTCCCATGAAGCAATGTTATTTTACTCTGCTTGGAATTTATATTGTCTGGTCTGTTACGGTGAGTAGTCATTTCTGGTTTTGATCTGAAAGGGTTTGCATATGGGGTCCAATTCTATATGTTTGTTGATTGAACATTCAGACAACGAAGGCCATCAGTTTAATTGGGACAACGTAACCATAGTAGCCCAAGCCAAACATAGACACGCACAGAAATTCCTAGAGGCATGGTTCTCCACCAATACTTCAATCAACAAACATATAGAATTGGACCCCATATACAAACCCACACAGATCAAAACCGGAAATGACAGTACTCACCATAACGGACTGGACAGTATAAATTCCAAGCAGAGTAGAGTGACATCACTTCATCGGAGGCTCCACTGATGATGTCACCTAGCATGGTGATGAAACGTCTGAATGAGAACAAGTCAGCTCAGCGAGCAAGTTAACAACTGCATCCACAACCCAAACTACAGATCTTTGCCAAAAAATTCAAAAATTAATTAAATCTGTACGAACATATAGGCAATTTTCTTAATGCGGTAATGAGGAGTAAAATTAAGTTCAACTTTACCAGATATTATAATAAGAAAAAGGACTTACGGAGGTCATTTGTAACTTTGTACTTCCCATCAGCAAAGATCCAGTAGAATAAGCCTGCAGCATGTCGAACAACCTGACCTCCTTTGTTTACCCTTCCAGCAATAAATACACCTCCAGTGTTGGCAGTCTCAATGAGTACATCACAAGTTATATTCAGGTTTCTCCTAGTAAAAAAAAGTTCATAAGCAGCATGTCAACTAAAATAAACAAGGTCAGTGATTGCCACAGCCTGCATTCTGCATTAAAAAAATGCACACCTGTTAAGGCTGCAGAGAGGGCACAACCTATTAGATTCTTTGAGTAAATGCCTTGGTATTTTAAAACCATTGATATAATTCTGGCATTACATTAAACACATACAGCTTTTATTGCTACGTACATACATCTTAGAATATCCAGTGTTCTTAGCAATAGCATGTAGCAGAACAACTTTTTAAAAATATTATGACAAAAACGCTGTACATTGTGTAGTAGTTCATTGTGATTATTTATTAGATTCTTTCTCATTACTCACAAAGCAAACATGATTAAAATTGATTACTACTTAGGACTGTTAAATAAGTTGCCTGTTGAATAAGCAGCCATTAGTATAACTTTGCTTATCAACTTCCCTGATGAAAGGCAAAATGTTAAAGAGAGAGAAAATGAAAGGCAATGTTAGTTTCCTGCAAGCACAAGTTGATAAAGTCCCTGAAAAAGATTACTGGGTCAATTCAATTGAAACACTCCTAAGAGGCATACAGAATTTAACAAAGGCTCCTCAGTCAGCAATTTCCATATCTACAACCACTACCATCAAGAAGAACAGCAGCAGATATATGGAAACACCCCCATTTGCAAGTTCCTCTCTCAGCTACTAACTCTCTTGACTTTGACAATAAAAGTTGCAGGAACAGATATAGGCCATTGAATGGCCTATTGGATTGTTCGGCCATTCAACGAGATCATGGCTGATCGGAGAATTCTCAATGCCACATTGTTGTCCTTTCCCAAAACCTTCAACTCCCTTACTGATTAAAAAATCTGTCTGAGTCTTGAATTTCTCAAATGACCCAGCCTCAAAACACATCTGCAGTAAAGAATTTCACTAATTCACTACTATCTGGGATACCTTAAAAAAGAGATTTTTCTACTATTTACTGTGTAGTATGAAATTTCATTTAACAACTATTTACAGCAGTCCTAAACTTTCAAAAATTCTAGCATATAAAATAAAGGAAAGAATTACAAAAGGTAAAAAACAGGAGGTTACGATGCCCAAGACTAGCATCAACAATTCATCTGGCACCAGACACACCCTATTATCAATATGCTGTTTTTGAAATTAAGCTTAGAAAGAATAGTAAACTAAGGATAGGAGGCACCAGAGGAATCCTGCAGGGCCTAAGCCAATTCCATGCTGGAGTAACCACGCTGGGGCCAAGGAAGTTAGAGAAGACACATCTCTGCTGGAAAAACCGAGCAGGGGCCAATACATAGGAAAATCCAGATTCCACTCTGGAGCAGTCATGTCTTAGCTAGGCCAAATCCACACGAGGATTAAGAACACAGTAGACTCAGAGCAGAGGGGAGCTTTTCCCCCAGAGAGCTGTTTTCATCAAGCAAACCTTACCAGACAGATGAAAGACAGAAGGAAGACCAAGGCAAGAGTTCTCTAACACCTCAGTTAGAGAGCAGGATGCTGCCCCCACTGAGACCGTAACATTCCTCGACAACATCTTGTTTGTCCTCTGGTAACAGTGAACCATCCCCAATTGTCATGATTGTAGATTTTCTTTATCTTACTAATGCTTCATGTCTAACTACTTCTTCTTGAACTCAATAAACTATCAGAAAATTGCAATAAATTGTTGATTGCCTAATTGTGATCACACACCACTAAAATCCACATACCTTGCTTGTTACATTTTAATTTCTTGCAGTTAATCCCTGGGATCAAACATTACCTCTTACAACAGTGGGCAACTCTATGTGAAAATCTGAGGTTGGCTTTGCCACCAAAAAATATTCTACTCTGCCCTATCCAGCCCTAAAGTGCTACCTGCTGTGCATGCTGCATAAATAGAACAACGACATGTTCTTCTCTTCTGCCTGTTGTAATTGATATTTAAAGACACCAATTTTTCCTACAGATCTAGTTTGCCATTTAACACACTGAATTTGTCTCGCATACTGCAAATTATACCACTATTTTTATTATCCAACACTAACATAATTAATTATATTACAATCACATGAGATTTATCTGACAGATTATAGCCTCAATTCACAATGCTCATGATAGATCATGTGACGATTTTATACCTGTTTGAAAAAGTGTGGTTGTCATTTGCAACAAATACTGAAAACAGCCAGACAAGAAAATCAACTTTCATGTTGACAGAAGTTATTATGTCAGTAGGACACAAATTTGGACCTACAAATGTTTTGAAATGCAGCTTTACCACTCAAGCTTAATTTTTCTTGCTCACCCCTTTGTTCTCATTCCTTATTAACCACCTTTTTCTATTTATTTCATGCTAATTCATTTTCTCTTCAGCAAATCGTTCCTGGACTTACTCTGATAAATTTGAAAAACGTTTTTTAATTAAAAGTGGGCCCTTAATAGTGTTTTAAAAAAAACCCACCAAATCAATGCTGTCAAGGCAGTAAGCCCTTCTTTAAGATTGTGGTTCCTGAAAATTGTAACTTCAAAAATTAAAAAAAAAACTTGAAATGCTGATTCCCAGAGGAATCAATGTCAAAATAGGAGTCAGGTTCCCTCAAAACGTTTTTTAAATCAGAATAAAAGTACAGTATTATATTCTATTAATTGAAATGCTTCTAAATTGCTAAATTTCTACATTGGCAAATGATCTCACTTGTAATGTTTAAAATTAAATTTTATTAATTTTGGTTCATTTTCCCCTCCCTGCCCTCTGGTATTTGGTCTCCTTACTGAATCATTGTCTTGTGGCCTACCCTATCCTCTGGACCCTTCTAGTTCCTGGCCTTCTGATGTTTGGCTCATCTCTTCTTTGGAACTCCAACATGAAGCCATTCCCCTCCCTGGTCCTCCAAATTGCAGGCACTCCCCCTCACTGGCCCACTGAATGGAGGTCTCTCGACCTTTCTGTTCCTCCAACTTGGGGCCTTTCCTCCTCTCTAGGCCTCAGGACTGGTGGTGAGGAGTCACTAAGTAGAAAGATATATTTAGAAATTGTTTTAAAATTGTATTTATCTTAGAAGTTATTTCATTTACCAAGAGAGAGGATACAGGGAGGCCAAAACATCCTTGCAAGCCAACAGACATTCTCAAAGAAGATATCCTCAGGCACAGACTATGACGTGGCCAGGAATAAGCGATGTCTCAAATAGGCAGCCTACAGCCTGATAAGTAAAGCTTCCTGGTGCAGAACTCGGGCAGCAATGGCTTGGGTTCCACTCTCCCTCAGCATCCAGCATTGGAGAAACTGCAAGTTGAGCATCAGGAGAGACCACAAGTTTGGAACGTCGAGGATGAGGAGAGACTGCATGTCAGAAGGCTAGGCATCAGAAGCAGCCTCAAGTTACAGGGTCTGACAGGGGATTAGGCTGCACTTAAGTGGCACAAGGTGGGTTGGATAAATAACATTAAAATGAATTTTGTGATGCTCAAGAACATTACTATAAAAAAAAACTTACAGGTTTTAAAGCAAAATAACATTAAGCAGGGCAACTTTGAATGAGAACTTACTGTAGATACAGACATAAATACACTCATTTTCTATTGCATTAAAATAAGCCAACTCATCCAAAACATTGCAAGGCTTAAAAACTTTGAAAGGTACTTGGAGTGCAATGAAAAGTTCAAGTGCCAATGAAATTTAGTAAAATCGCCAATCAAAAAATATTGTGCATGCAAAGTAAGTTCTATTTGCAATGTTTAAATACTTTAATTTAACAAAATGAAGCCTTACCATTTGTAGTCACCAATAACACTAATTGTTTGGTCAGCATCATTTCCCCAAGTTATAGGTCGCTGAGTTATGACCTGGCGTAGGGTGAACACATGGTCACCAGGATCTTGATAGTTTATGAAGTACTCAAACACTCCAGTCTGGTCAGCAAAATTAGGTGCTTCACTGAATGGTGGACTCTCTGAATCACAGATAATTTGAACACCAAGATTAAAAATTATTTACCAAACTCCATATTAACATCAAGGACTTCAAAAACCACACTGCAGTCATATGAACTGAAAAATATTATAATTGCTTGAAAGAAGAGGAAATCAAGTACACTGGTCTATGCTCTGTGGCACTTCATAAGTTTAGGACTGTAAATACATCAGATCACTGGTTATATTTAAATCAATTTTGTTAAAGCTTTTCATAATCACCGAATTGCTAAGGCTAGTTCTTGCAGCAGGTCCAGTCTCCTTTGTTGAGCAGAAACAGCAGATGCTACATCGCCACCACCAGCAACAGTAGGAGCAGGAGCAAAACCAGGTCTACAAGGACAGCATTAGCTCTCTTGATATATCTGAATTCCAGTGGCTTAGGAGGTTCAGGCTGTCACTGCAGTTAAGTGCTGACATCTGCAGCCTCCTGGAAAAAGCCCTCCCCCCAACCCCTCAGAGCAGTGAACAAACCTGCACACATTCCCACGAGATGGGCAGGCCTGGCTGGATTTCCTCAGCATTATAGAAAAGACAGCTCTTTAAAGGACAGCTGCAATAGAACCAGTTGCACTTAGCATTCCTCAGAACAGCAACCTCTGTTCCACCCAATGAGGAAGCAACAAGATTCAGTTCAAAATAACAGGCCACCAAAGTGCCTCCCAGACCACATTATAGTACTCCTCTGAACTAAATTTATAGTAGCAAAAGTTCCTCACTAATAAAGTAGGATAATTGACCCTTGAAATAATGCTATTGGATCCCTTCTATAGATGACACATGTTTAGCTGGGAGCGATAAGGACAGGATTACCTTGAAGGGCTTTGCACATAAACTGATTAATCAGAAACACAGGCGGTGGATAACAGGTGACAAGTTACATGGTTGGCTTTGTGATGGCAAAAAAAAAAGTGTGTTGCAGCACTTCTAGATACAAGAAGAAAATAGAGGGGATTAGTGAGGGGCCCAGAATACCTGGGCTCAAGTTCTACCTGCTCCAGAGGTGTATAATAACATCACTGAGCAGGTTGATTATAAAATATAGAGAGCGTTTAGCGCTCTTGTGCTGCTGCAGTGGTAGTGTCCCTACCTCTAAGCCAGAAGGTACGAGTTCAAGTCCTACCTGCCCCAGACAAGCTGTGATATATCTGAACAGGTTTATTAAAAATATCCAGAGTTAACTGGACTAGCATGATCGAGGTTAGTAGCACGTGTCCATTCAACTAGAGAGATCATTGATGTCACAACCTGCACAGTCTGTATCAGTGTCCTTGAACATGGTACACAGAGTAGGCTGCACCAGAATTGTCCAGAGGCAGTGGTCAAGCCATTTTCAGCTCCTTCAGCCTCTGTAGCTCTGGTTTATCAAATTTTGTTCCATGTTCCATGGCAATGAGAATAAGATTTCATGCCACGAACAAACAGCTGTGGAAAAATAAAATACTTACAACTATATCTAAATGGTGAAAGGACAATATTTTTGCGTACTTTCCTTCAAAACTACCAAAATAGGCTGACTCATTACACTGATGATTACAAAATACTTTATGTTATGACCCTTGTAAATTATCTTCCTTTTCCCAAATTGGACACAGACAAGTTTATGAGGCCTTCATTTTTGTTTTAAATGCTCACTTACCAACATTAAAGTTGTCCTTATATACTTTGGGAAATGATGTAGAGGCTGGTGGCTCAGGAAAGCTGCCTCGATTTCCTGTATTGACGGTGCTTATAGTGTACATTTCATCCAACTCCAATTGCAGTGAAAATGATCCATTGACGGGCTGAATTAGAATAATCAATTTAAAATCGAGAACTTGTGCAATTTGCAGCATGCATTACAAAATGGAAGATTTTGTAGGTGTAACTATGTACCTTTACCAGATTCTAGAAATCGGGCTGCTGTCCAACATAAATCACAAAGTCTTTTTGAACAAAAAAGTGTGAAAGAATAAAAATTTACAATGAATTTTTATCCATTTCATACTGTACCCCAAAACAAACTGTGGAACTCTGTTACTGAGCTAATTTTAATGACAAGGAAATCTCTGAACTAACTTGTTAAAGAGAACTGTTTCTCAGTGGTATTTGTCTTCCACTCAGACTTCTGTAGATTGAGTTATGGCTCAACTAGAAATGAGACCAAAAACTCTAAACTTCCAGCAGTTTACCAGCCTATGAAGTCAAAGTACTAATTAATTCTTCCAAAACCTTTCAGGTGTAGGCTACTTGTAGACCCCCAGCATTGGACTTAAATGAAAGATGCTATTGCAATATAGTACCTTAGCAAACTTTCTCAAGCTGATGTGGTATGAGTAAAACTCTAAATGAAAAGGCACCACAGCTAGATATAATTATGTGGCAACAGCAGAGAAGGAAGGAAGAACTTAGTCAAATTCATTTTGTAACTCATGTTGTGTATTGCTAATCTTTTCAGTGTAAAATAGCATGCTAGAAAATCAGAATTTAAAAAAAGTCTCATTTTAGTTGGTCAAGAAAAGCAACAAGAATTTACCTTGATTTCAGACATCTGGTTAAAAAATGTAGATGAATTCTTGACAAAGTCAAATTTTGAATGCCAAACTTTCAAAGCTTTAATATTTTTCTGAAGAAAATTAAACATAGGTCATTAATCATTGCATTTATAGTTGAACAAAGGAAAATAACATATTTAAATCTATAACTAAAGGATAGCTCATAAAGCTGTTACCACAAACCATCTTAAACTAATAAAATTAGCTATTAATATAGCTTAGGTCATTGATTACATCTTAGTCACATATTTAACATTGACACATATAGGCTGTGAAGGAGGGGTTTCGATAAACTTTGAAAAAGAGGACATTGAATCAAAGCATTGTGCTACTCTCCAATTCACATTAGTCATGAGTAAGAAAGTTGCAGAAGTAATGTTCCCTCTAATCTCTGATGTTCTGTGCATGGCAACCAAGGTAATGATGCGGATCGCAGTATTAACTTTCAGAACTGGAACTTGTAACTGTGCACAAATCTTGGAGGTCCATTCAGAAGAAAAAGTGGAGGAAATTATGTTTGTGACTATTATTAATGACAAAATGTGACTACAAAATAATTTCCTCCCTCCATACACAAAACAAACAACATGCACTGATCAACGAATGGTACTTACAAATGATCCTTGTAATTTAAAAGTCACATTTTGCCGACAGACATCGTAAGGTGGTAGTGGTGGCCTGATACATATTGAATGATCATGGGTCTAGGTTTAGAAAAAACAACTTAAAATGATGCTCAATGTTAAAATGTACCATAAATGAAACGATACCCAAAGCAATGATAAAGAGATGCCTGAATTTTTACTGAAATCAAGGAATCTGAATGCATATTTTTGACATGATTTCTATCACAAACCAAGTCACTTAATTACCCAGTGTTAGTAACATGGAAACAAATCAGTCAGTTCCACATATCCATGCTAACGTTTACGTTCTACTGGAGCGTAAGCTTCCCCTTAAAACATCAATGCTAATTGCCTAAACCCTTCTTGTGGTAGAGGTGTTTGGACAAATAAATTTCTATCAAATACCCCAATGATTTTATTAATGGCTGTATTAGATTTATCACTACTTGCTCTAATCTCTCCTGCAATTGGCAACATCTTCATTATTTTCACCTGATTGAACGTTTTAGCAATCATATCTCTGTAAAAGGTCACACTTGCATCTTTTCTTTGCTACAGAAAAGAGTCCCATCCTGTCAACCTTGCCTGAAGGGCATAAATTTTCAGTTCTGATAGCATCCTAATAAATCTCTCTTGTACTTTCTTCAAGACACAAAAATCCATTTTTGGAGACCGGATCTCTGCAGATTTGGCCTAACTAAGATTTTGAACAAATTTAAATCATAATTTCTCTGCTTTTCAATTCAACTCCTCTAGAAGTTACCCTCAGTCCCATGATTACATTTTTTGTGATTTCATTAATCAGCGACTCTATCTCTACATAAGGTGTAGATTTGTAATCACTAACACCCAGATCCCCTTGCTCCTCTACCTCAATTAAGCACTCTTTTTCAGCGAAGAGGGAGTGTCTCTATTCTTCCTAAAGTTCTAAAACCATTAGATATATTAAAATGAGATCATGAAATGAGATCTTGCTTACTAAATGATAAAGTCAGAATCCAATATATCTGTAATTAAAGGGGAAATTATTTTAAAATAGCTCTCTAATAGTAAATTTCATTGTGCAAAATTGCTTCCAATAGCAGGTCCTCTCACATCTTGACACCACTAAACTTAAACTATTTTAAGCTTTCCCATAGATGCCTCAATATCAGCTGCAGGTTGTCTCCTAGTTACCTTTCAGATATTAACATTTTACATACTAGCAGATGGCGGTAATGAGAAATGGTGTCACCATTCTAATTATTTATTCCAAATCAGTTTGAAGCAAGGGCAAATGAAAAAAGAATGTCATTTTGAAGATACCCCAATTAAAAATTATATCTCATATTTACATACCCAGTGGTTTGAAGCGATTGGGTGTTATGGGATGAGAAAAAGTTGAGAGATAAAGTACAAATACTCCATGAATAAGTAAAAAGTATTTTGATACAAACAGCTTTGAACTTATATCCTACCCTTAAGTTGTAATCTAAAAGAAAGTTAAAAGTAAATACTTTTGGAAGACATAGTACTTATTCATGCCAATCTAATGCATCTAACTCATAGGCTTTGTAACACTGGGCAGCCACACATTAGTTAATGAGCAGTTTCATAGAATCAGAAATGTTTTCGTTCCAGATGCTGTGCAGCAACCATCAGCTGCTACTGGGTTTTGAAATGGCTCAATAAATTCAGCAGCATTGCTTTGTCAATTCTGTGCTCAGGAAAATAACCAGAAAGAGGAAAAAAAAATGTGGTGTGAAAGAAATGGCCAAATATGATGACAGAGCAATGAACAGGTAAAGATTCATACAAGAATACACAGTCTGGGGCTAGGAAACAGCGTAGTATGTAACATGAAGAAATGTAGATACCATTGTTTCTATGATAATGGTGATATTTCCCTTCCCATCAGTAAGGGCCACATAACTGCCACCCTTCTGCAAGTGACCAACAGTCTTCAGGTAGTGCCATCCTGGCTGAGTGAACTGTGTGGTGTGTGCTGCAAAAGATAAAAATTAATTCAGATAGCACTTCACACATTCAGCATCTTTCTTTCAAGCAAACCAGGAAACTTAGAGCAATCGTGCTCAATTCTGACAAGATAATGAGTCACTTTAAAATGCAGCGCCTTTTATCTATGCATTGTCAAAAGTAGTTGTTTCTTTCTATTTCTAAAATATGTTAACAAATAATGCACTAGACTGAACACCTGACATGTCGATGGAGGTTCATGACAACAATGGAAGAGTAGATGTGACTAAGCTCTCTGTTAGACTTTTGTTCTGAGGCATCAGATTTTCAGTATAAATGACTTGGCTTAAGGGAGAACCACTTTTCCAAACTGGCTGATAACACCAAGTGAAGTGGGATGGTAAACAGCACAGGTGGGAGTACAAAATTACAAAGCGAGATTGATAGATTAAATTGGTGGGCATATCTGTGGCAGGCAAAGTTCAGAGATGTATCAGGTCATCTACTGTGTATGCAAAAGAGAGGGTAGTTCCTTAAATGGTGAGCACTTAGAACCATGGAAAAGCAGAAAAGATTTACTGGACCAATTACAGAAATCAACGAAAACTAGTCCACAGGATACCAAAAGATTACAAGAGGCGAATGAAATGTTAGCCTTCAAACTAAAGAAACTGAAATTACGTAGCAGTGAAAGTGAAGTTGCAATCATATGAAGCTCTTACATAGCCCAGTATAGAGTGCTGCACTCTGATCTGGGCACCACATTTCAGGAAGGGTATAATAGCCTTGGAGGTGTGCAGTGCAAATCTTCAGCATCATACTGGCGACAAAACGGAAATTATGAGAACAGATTGCACAGACTAGATACTCATTGTCTGGAGGATAGACGCTTAAGAAATGACGGAATTGAAATGTTTATGATGATTAATGGAGCTGAGGAACAAGGTTGACAAGATTAACCCCTAGCTGATGCAGTGTGTAGGAAGGTATCTGAAAGTATGCTGGGGTAGTTGTCACTTAAGAGGAGGCAGTGACGTATTGCTTGATGGGCAATTCGGAGATAGGCAAAGGTGGTACTGGAAGCTGTGGGCTTGGGCTTATTTAAATAAGAGTCAAGCAGGAGAGTAAGAATGCTGAGGAATACTCAAGGGTTGGGGATATAGATTTGCGAAGGCAGAGGACAGAATCATGGAAGTGGTATAACACAGAGGGGCACCATTTGGTCCATTTGTGTTGGTGTTGGTTTGCCAAGTGAGCAAGTAGCTGAGTGCCATTCTACTCCTTTTGCTATTTCACCATTCATATTCCTCCTTTTGAGATCGTAATCCAATTCCTCTTGAATGCCTTGATTGAGCCTGCCTCGATTGAGCCTGCCTCTACCTCTCTCTCAGGCAGCACATTCCAGATTTTAAACCACATTTTAATCATGTTTCCCAAAATGTCAACTTTCCTACTCCTTTGATGCTGCCTGGCCTGCTGTGTTCCTCTAGCTCCATATGGTGGTGTCTTTAACATCACCTTACTCTTGCGCTTGATGCCCCCATTAATAAACCTCAAGATAAAATATGATTTATTAACTTTGTTTCCGACCTTGGCAAGTTTGACAGGCATCAAATTGTCCTGTCCCCTTCAACGGCTTATATTCTGACACCTAGGTCTCTGTTCATTTATATTTTTAAATTTGTTCACAGAATGTGGACGTCGCTGATATAGGAGGTTGGTGTCTTTGTGGAGCATGTTGCCCATTTCAAATGCAAATTAATTATATCCTGTCTTTTGTCTAGTTCTGATTGGAGTCTCATCCTGAAACATTATCTTTACTTCTTTTCAGATATTGATAAGGCTGTTTTTCCTTTTTATGTTTTTCACTTGTGAATCAGGTACATCTTAGACTAATATTTCTATACAACTGAAACATTTGCACGAAAAACATTCACACTGTAAATTCAGGCAGGTTAGCAGCCTATGCTCATTTTGAACCTATTCTTTCTCTCACAAAGTTAGGGTAATGTACATATATATTTTCAGAATATTTAGTACTACTAGTTTATGGCATTGACACATTTGAGTGTAAGTCAGGTAACTATGAGGAAGAAATATGTTCATTATGTTAGATGATGATGATTAGATAGAGGCTTGTGCGGAGAACGGACAATTGCATGGACGTGTTGGGCCACATGGCTCATTTCTTTGCTGCAACTACTACAGTTGATGACTTGATATGGCTAATGCTTGGCATTTACTAGATCACCTACCCTCTGATGGCATTATTTGCTATACTGAGGCACATGCTTAATTGCTCCAATATTACTGCACCACCATTGTGCCACGAGTAACTCTGTGAGCTATGTCAGTCTTTATGTAATGTTAGTTCTCTTGAGCTTTGGTGACAAAACTCTACCATAATTTATCTACTATAATGATCATAAGCATCAAAAATCTGGAGAAATGCAGTTCTTAACACCAACAGGGCAACTTTCCCAGAACCAAAACGGCTTTCTAAATTGAGTAACACACATTAATGATAAAGCATGTTCACCCAGTTAATAATCACCATCTAATGCCTTCAACAATAACAAAGTAACACAAAATTAATATGTATTTTGAATATTTCATGAAAAAGCAAAAGAATTAAAGACTTGGATAGTCATAGAATCCCTACAGCGTGGAAGCAGGCCATTCGGCCCATTAAGTCCACACCGACCCTCTGAACAGCAGTCCATCCAGACCCGCCCCCTACCCTATCCCTGCATTTTCCACCCGAGACACCATAGGCAATTTAGCATTGCCAATCCACCTAACCTGCACATCTTTGGACTGTGGGAGGAAACCGGAGGAAACCCATGCAGACATGGGGAGAGTGTGCAAACTCCACACAGTCGCCTGAGGGTGGAATCGAACCCTGTCTCTGGTGCTGTGAGGCAGCAGTGCTAACCACTGTGCCATCCAGTGTGTTTTTTTTTTCTCCTTTTTGTTTTACCTAAAAAACAATCAGAGCCATTAAAACTGAGTTTTAATGCTACTCAGTCTCTGTGTAATGCTAATTGATGCAAGGGCAAAAAGTCAATTACCTGGATAACTGGATTTTTTTTTTTAAAAACAAATAAGTATATTACTACAGAGAGAAGACAGTGTTTGGTACTGCGGAAATTGCTCCTAGGGAGAGCCAGCACAAAGACTGGATGGCCTCTATCTGTGCTGCAACAATTCTGTGGTTCAGTAATTAGGTGAAATATACAGGATGTTTTAATTTTTGGACGATAAAGTTTGAATCTTAATGAATATTTGTTTACCTGTAATCCAAAGGGGTGACTGCACGTCATAATGCCCACTCCACGGTTCATCTGCAGTCATCAGTCCATCCTGGCCAAATGGTAAATCTTTATAATAACTTGCCACTAAGTTCCATGCGATTGTACTAGCAGAAGAAAAGCAATGCATTGGAAACTGAATTTACAACAATCAGATTCAAATTTAGGATAGGCCATTCAGCCTGATGAACCTACACGGTCATTCATTACGATCATGGCTGATCAAGAACTTCAATGCTTTTATCCGCACTATCCCCCCTTATTTTTAAATTGTGCCTCACGGTTCTCGACTCCCCAAACAGGTGTAACATCTTATGTGTAGGTTTCAATGAGGTCACCTCTCATTCTTCCAAACTGCAGAGCACGTAGGTCCAGTTGCCCAATCTCTCTTCATTGGTCAGTCCTAGGAAAAGGTCTGGTGAACCTTCATTTATGGCACAGAGTCATGCAGCACAGAAACAGACTCCTCGGCCCAACTTGTCGGTCTCCTAAACTTAACTCCCCATTTGCCTGCATTTGGGCCATCTTCCTCAATCTTTCCTATCCATGTACCTGTCCAAATGTCTTTTAAAATGTTGTAATTGTCCTTGCCTCTACCAAATGGTCTGGCAGCACATTCCATATATGCACCACCCTCCATCTGAAAAAGTTGCCTCTCGGGTCTCTTTCACATCTTTCCCTTCTCACCTTAAACCTATGCCCTCTAGTTTTGAACTCCCCTAACCTGGGGAAATGACCTTGGCTATTCATCTTATCTATGCCCCTCGTGATTTTATAGACCTCTAAGGTCATCCCTCAGCCTCTGGTGCTTCACAGATAAAAGTCTCAGCCTATATAGCCTCTGCTTATAACTTAAACCCTCCAGTCTCTAACATCCTTGTAAATCTTTTTTGCACCTTTCTCAGTTTAATAACATCCTTCTTATAGCAGGGGGACCAGAAATTATATGCAGTGCTCCAAATGTGGCCTTACCAATATACAGCTGTAACATGATGTCCAAACTCTTGTACTTAAAGCTCTGACCGATGAAGGCAAGTGTGCCAAATGCCTCCTTAAACACCCTGTCTATCTGTGACACCACTTTCAAACTGCACCTCTAGATCGCTCCGTTTGACAACACTCCCCAGAGCCCCACCATTAACTGTATAAGTTCTGCCCTGGTTGGTCTTACCAAAATGCAACACCTCACATTTATTTAAATTAAAATCCATCTGCCATTCCTTGGCCTACTGGCCCAGTTGATCAAGACCCTGTTATATTGTTAGATAACCATGTTCACTATCTACTATACCACGAATTTTGATGTCATTTGCCAACTTGTTAACCGTGCTTCCTATATTCTCACCCAAATTGTTTATATAAATGACAAACCAACTGGACCCAATTCCGATCCTTGTGGCACACCGCTGATCACAGGCCTCTAGTATGAGCTACAACCCTCCACCACCACCCTCTATCTCCTACTGTTAAGCCAATTTTGTATCTCATTGGCTAGCTCTCCTTGGATTCCACGTGACCTAACCTTACTAACCAGTCTACAACGTGGAACCTTGTCGAAGGCTTTGCCGAAGTCCACAATATCCATTGCTTTGCCATCATCTATTTTCTTGGTCATCTCCTCAAAGTACTCAAATCAAGCCTGAGAGACACTATTTCCCATGCACAAAGCCATGCTGACTGTCCCTAATTAGTCCATGCCTTTCCAAAGGCACGTAGATCTTATCTCTCAGAATCCACTCCAACAACTTACCCACCACCAATGTCAGGCTCACTGGTATGAAGTTCCCTGGCTTTTCCTTGCAGCCTTTATTAAATAATGGCACAAGTAGCCACCTTCCAGTCTTCTGGCATACGGTGGTGGCACTTTAGGTCTGTTCGCTGTACGGTTGGTTTGCAAAGCAGTGCAACGGCAACAGCACGCGTTCAATCCCCAGTGGCTGAGGTTACCATGAAGGACTCTCCTTCTCAACCTCTGCCCTCGCCTGTGTATGGTCGCTCTCAGCTTAAATCACCATCAGCCATCTCTCTCTAATGAGAATAACCTATGGTCTGGTAAGACTACGGCAATTTGACTTTGACTTCTTACACCTCAACCATGACTGTTGAACATACAAATATCTCTGCTTGGGGCCCCATATTTTCTTCCCTACCTTCCTGGGAAACACTTGATCAGGTCCAAGGGATTTATTTACATTTAATATCTTTCCTGAGGCAAGGATACCAAAACTGCACACAGTACTCCAGGTGTAGTCTAATCAAAATTCTATGCAATGGAAGCAATGGAAGATTTTACTGCTCCAGTACTCAAATCCTTTTGCAATAAAGGCCAACATTTCATTAGCTTTCCTACTGGATGTCAGCCTTCAGTAACTTATTGACAATGAGTAAATCTCTTTAGACTCCCTATTTAAGGGCATTGTGGAAGGAGCATCATTCCAAGTAGCACAATAGCTCAAGAGTAAAGTTCATGAATTGCAGCCTTATTGTTATCGTTCACATCCCAAGAATATGCTTGCTTTGGAATACTGCAGAATGATACACAGTCAGATGTTTGTCAACAGAATCCATGTTAATACTTACGAAGTCATATTGCCATTGACAAAATTCTGGTTAAGTATACGAGCCCAGCAACCTCCTCCAACATTATCATTCACAGTACTGTAGTCTTCAGATGACCATAGTTTCTTCCCTGTCTTCCTGGCATTACTGCTTGAAAATGTTCCAGGATAATGGGCTCTAAAAGATATAAAAAGAAATATTCATAATAAACCAAGGAGTTTGTATTTCATTCAAACATTGAAAAAAAATTACACCTAGTTTGACTAAGTAGTTTGGAAAAAAAAGACTGCTTTAAAAAAAACAAACAATTATGGTATGTGCAATGGATATCACGCTCAATCGCATCAACTGTGACTTCAAAAACACAGCTAAACGTTAACAGCAAAGTGTGAAAACTAAGAAAATCTCAATAACTTGGTAATAAACTTCAACAAATAGAATCGATTTTACCATATTAGATTTACCACAATAAAAAGGTCAATAAACGGTGACTTGGACACTTAGGCAAAAACATTGACCTGGACACATACTGTTTTTTTAATTTCTTCCTATTTCAAGTTGTTCACTGACATTTATAACCCCGTCAGGATTTTGTATAGTTGGACTGCTTGACTCTACAGCTGCACAAACGTGGAATACTTCGAATGTCAGATTTCAAACTCCAGTATCAAGACAGGGAACATTCAAATGCAGAGAACCTGAATGTATTTTTTCCTTTCCCAAAGAAGTAGCTCACTAGCATTGTAGACCTAATAATTTTTAATACCTTGTGAGAATGGAGGATATAAATGCCTACCCAATAATGTCGACCACATCATATAGTTCAGTATCTTGAAGCACAGACCAAGATATTGGATCCCAAAGATTATCGCTGGCTATGATTTTCACCTGCTCTAGACCCATTTTGTCCATGGTGTATCTCAGCAGCTTGGCAGAAAAAAACAGAGATAGTCAAAGGAAATGTCAGCATTTTAGCTAGCTAAGCAAAATGCAATTGAAATCAGGAGTGGAGACAAATTTCTAAGACAGAAGTTACAATTAGGAAGTGTCTGTAGATACTGGACTATCAGTTATCCTAACATACCTTTGAAACATTTTGGAGCTTTTAAATTTTTTTTAAAAACAGTATTTTTAAAAATTTCATTATACAGTACCCCTAATGTGTTGCCATACACAACTGGCTTTCATCCTTCTAATTTCAAGCAAAACTAGCAGATCCACAAATGGAACAGTGCAAAGTGCTGAGGACAGGCATGTTCCCATATCACAACATACAGAAATAACCCAATTAAAGGAGGTTGTAAGTTTTAAGTTTGGCCAATATCAAACACAGATCTCAATTTGTTAAGGTGATCTGCAAGTTTGTATGTGATGAACCTATGCCATACAGCAGGGAAAAGAAAAACAGCAACTTATACTCAAAATTGTTCAAGTGAAAAATGTTTAACTAAAGAATAATTCTAAGCGCAGTACTTCTGGCAATCTTTCACTGAAAATTATTTGTAACATTAAAGTGAAAGAATCTGAGGTTGTGTTATATAATATATACTGATCTCAAATCGAACTTTACTATAAAATTATAGACCATTTGTTTTTTTAGGAGCATAAGTTGGTAAATCAATGCTGCACTACTGTAGTCCAATTAGAAGCAGATACAAAAGCAAAGTTTTAAGAGATATTTAGACAGACATGTAAACAGGCAGAGCTTAGAGGGACACACAGATGGGATTATTTTGGAATACCATCACGGTTAGTACAAACATGGGCTGAAGGGCCCATTCCCGTGCTGTACTGTCTTATGTTTTGTGAATTAAAAAAAATCATTTGTGGGACGTAGGCATCGCTGCTTGGCCAGCATTTATTGCCTGTCCCTAGTTGCTCTCGAAAAGGTGGTGGTGCGCTATTTTAAACCACTGCAATCCAAATGCTGTAGGTAGACCCACAATACCCTTAGGGACAGAATTCCAGGAATTTGACCTAGTGACAGTGAGGGAATGGCGATATATTTCTAAATCAGGACGGTGTGCATCTTGGAGGAGAATTTGCAGATGATGGTGTTCCAATGTATCTGCTGCCCTTGTCCTTCTAGGAAGTGGTCATAAGCTTGGAAAGTGCTCTCTAAAAGATCTTTGGTGAATTTCTGCGGTGCATTTTCTCAAGTATACACGACTGCTGCTACTGAGCATCAGCGGTGGAGGGAGTGGATGTGTCCAGATGTGGTGCCAATCAAGCGGCTGCTTTATCATGGATGACGTCAAGCTTCTGGAGTGTTTTTAAAGCAGCACCCATCAGGCAAGTGGGGACTATTCCTGACTTGTAAATGACAGACAGGCTTTGGGGGGAATAGAAGGTGAGCTACTCATGGCAGCATTCCCAGCCCCTGACCTGCTCTTGTGGCCATTATGTTTATGTGACCAGTCCAGTTGAGTTTCAGGTCAATGGTAACCCCAATGATGTTGATGGTGGGGGGATTCAGTGATGGTAACACCACTGAATGTCAAGGGGTGGTGATTAGATTGTCTCTTATTGCCTGGAATTTACGTGATGTGAATATTACTTAACACTTGTCAGCCAAAGCTTGGATTTTGTCCAGATCTTGTTGCATTTGAACACGGACTGCTCAGTATCGGAGGAGTCATGAATGGTGGTGAACAAGTGCAATCATCGGCAAACATCCCCATTTCTGTCCTTACGATGGAGGGATGGTCATTGATGAAGCAGTAGATGGTAGGGACTGGGCCTAGGACACTACCCTGAGGAACACTCACAGAGATGTCCTGGACTGAGAAGACTGACCTCCGATAACCTCCTTCTTATATCCCAGGTATGACTCCAAACAGTGGCGAGTTTGTTCTCTAACAAACACCAATTCCAGTTTTGCCAGGGCTCTTTGATGCCACACTTGGTCTAACACGGCCTTGACTTCAAGGGGGTGTCTCACACCTCACTTCTGAAAATCAGTTCCTTTGTTCATGTTTGAACCAAGGCTGTAATAAGGTTAGGAGCTGAGTGGTGGAACCCAAACGGGGCATCACTGAGCAGGTTCTGCTTGATAGCATTGTTGATGACACCTTCCATCACTTTACTGATGACCGAGAGTAAACTGATGGGCTGGTAATTGGTTGAGTTGGATTTGTCCTGCTTTATGTGTATAGCACATATCTGGGTAGCGGTGTGACTGTACTGGCAGAGCTTGGCTAAAAGAGTGGCAAGTTCTGGAGACAAATATTCAATATTATTGCCGAAATATGTCACCGCCCACAGCCTTTGCAGCAGAGTGCCTCAACCGTTTCTTGCCATTACATGAAGTGAATCGAAATGGTTAATGACTGGTACATCAGCGCTTCCTCCATGTGTTGTTCAACATGGAGGGTACTGATTCACTAGCCGAGGGAGGACTGGTATCTATAATGCTGGGGACAACTGGAGGAGGCGGAGATAGATCATCCACTTGACACTTCTGGCTGAAGATCTCTTCAGCCTTCTCTTTTTCAATTATATACTGGGGTCTTTCATCGAGGATGGGATATGTATGAATCTCCTCCTACAATGAGTTGTTTATTTGTCCACCACCATTCATGACTGGACATGGCAGGATTGCAGAGCTTAGACCTGATCCATTAATTGTGGGACTGCTTAGCTCTGTCTTTCACTTGCTGCTTATGCTGTTGGGTATGCAAGTAGTCTTGTTTGGTAGCTTCACAAGGTTGACATCTCATGTTCAGGTATGCCCAGAGCTGCTCATGGCATGCCTTCCTGACCTCTCTATTGAACCAGGTGTTGATTCCGGAGCTGGATTATAGTGGTTGAGTTGGGGATACATTGGGCCATGAGGTTGCAGTTTGTGTTGGAGTACAATTCTGCTGCTGTGGATGACGATCATTGATGGTCAGTCTGGACAGGTTGGATCTGTTCGAAATTTGTCCAATTTAGCATGGTGATAGTCAGAATGGAGGGTAGACTCCATGTGAAAGTAAACTTGGTCTCCACAAGGACTGTGCAGTGGTCATTCTTACCAATACAGTCAATGACAGATGCATCTACAGCCAGCAGATTGGCAACGCCCGGTGTGGACTGTAGGCTAGGTGCCAGCGCAGCCTGGGTTGGATGACCATTGTTTAATTTCTGCAACACTGGGCCTTTTAATTTCTCTATTTTCTAAGACTTTGTAACTGAAGAAGCTGCATCTTTGTACTTAAGATTGCGCTGCAAACTTTTCATGCACATGACAACAAAACTAAAGCAATTCAAATTCATACACTTGCCACTCTCAGCACTTCCTCCACGTGTTGTTCAACACGGAGGATACTGATTCATCAGCCAAGGGACGACAGCACATGGTAATCAGCAGGAGGTTTCCCTGCTCACATTTAACCTGAAGCCATGAGACTTCATGGGGTCCGGAGTCAACATTAAGGACTCCGAGGGCAACTCCATCCTGACTGTATACCACTGTGCTGCCACCTCTGCTGGGTCTGTTCTGCCGGTTGGACATTACATGTCCAGGAATTGTGATAATGGTGTCTGGACATTGCCTGGTCGGTTACAATTCTGCAAGTAGGATTATGCCGGGCTGTTGCTTGACTAATCTGTGAGGCAGATCTACCAGTTTTGATACTAGTCCCCAGAAGTTTGTAAGGATGACTTTGTGGGGTTGACAGGGCTGTTTCTGCCATTGTCTATTCTGGTGCCTAGGGCAGTTGAAAGTCAACCACATTGTGTGGAGGCCAGACCACGTGATAATGACAGATTTCTTTCCCTGAAAGACTTCAGTGAACCTGATGGGTTTTTGACAATCGAGAATGGTTTCATGGACTTCAGTCAACTCTTAAAATCAAATTTCACCATCTACCACAGAGGGATTCAAACCCAGGTTCTCAGAACATTAGCTGAGCTTCTGAATTAATTGTCTAGTGATAATATCACTCAGTCATCACCTCCCTGTCCTCCATTTAAGAATGGGATTAAAGAAATCACTGTCAAATGCATTGCGAGTGGACTAGGGCTAGAAATACAAACCAGGTGAGTTTTCCTTGAACTCTGTGCTGAAATTAATTTTAAAAACACAGTCTCTGTCACCTTTGGGAAGATCCAAAGCAGTAATGCAATTATGCAGGCCAAAGAAAGAACAGTACATCCTACTATGAAAAGGTGCGACATTTTACTTTTTAAACAATTAAGTAATCTAAAATCTTCACAACGTAGACCTAACGTAACACTTTGTTTTCAACTTGCATGTCAAAATTTCAACTATTATCTAGTTAAAGGCAAGGAAGATAATGGGATAATTTTAATCCTGAGACAAAGGCTAATGTTCTTGGTACATGGGTTCAAATCCCACCATAACAGCTAGACTCGAAATGTTAACTCTTTGTGGTTCTTCACAGATCTGCCAGATGTGCTGAGTTTCTATGGCACTTTCCATTTTTACTTGTGGTGTAATCTAAAATTTGTTTTCAACAAAGAAACTGAAGTTGAAAAGCAGTCTTCATAATGGCAACCATAAAACCACCAACTGCTATAAAAATACAGTTGGTTCACTAAAGTCCTTTCAGAAAAGAAACACAAGTCCTTACCTGTTCAGACCTATATGCAATTCCAGATCCACAGCAATGTAATTGACTTTTAGATTCCATGAAATAGCCTCGCAAGCCACTCAGTTCAAGGCAGTTAGGGATTGACATTAAATGCCGACCTTGGCAGCGATGACACATCCCATCACCGAAATTAAAAAAAATAGTTTCTGCCAACCACAGCTATTGCTTAGTCATTTGAGAATATTAATCTGGAATATTTACTTCAGATGAGTCTAAGGCAATGCACTCTCTGCTAATTTAGTAGGTTCTGGAGTGTGGAATATCATACTTAGCGTGATTTTGAAACTGACATTATTTATTTGAGATGTGTGGTGTCCAGTAAGAATGAGA